AAAAAAAAGTATCTGATACTGTGGGAGGAGCTCTATGTTACTTAATAGGAGCAAACACATGCTGTTTAATACACTTTGGCCAGCAAACATCTTCCTGATATAAAAGTTAAGGGTTAGATTGCCAGTCCTCTGTCACCCATGCTGTGGATGGAACATCACTGGGTGGGGGTCTCCGGTGCAATGAGGGCAGCTCTAACCCATCACAAAATGCTGTCCTTGTGTTGTCACCCCACTTCAGGCCATGTCCTGAGCATGCAAAAGGACGAGAGCACTGAAGTACTCTTTTCCCAACTGTGTATTGGTATGAAGGCTCCAGAGCTAAGGAAAGCTCTGTACCACCATATTTATTAGTCTTTCATACCTTGATATCCATTACACTGAATTTCATCCAGTGATGATCCATGTATACAAGAATGTTAAATGCTATGTTTTCAGTTCTGGCTGAGTAATGCTGGCAAAGGGCAAAAGATGGGTTAAAAGGTTACGGCAACTGTTAATGCAGACATGACTCTTAAGAGACTGTTCATCAGTCTCTGCCTCTCTTTTGATAAACTTATATATTTGTGTGCATGTGCATATATATATTTTAATATATATCTATAATTTAATTAGTATGTTCAGAACTGGGCCACTTTGACTATTCTGTTCTGTTCTTGCTTCTGTACTACACGTAGCCCCGCAATATTTGAATGCCTTACAGTAATGACTAAGTTCATTACTGTGTTCGTGTTCTCTGTTCAACTCTGGAGGGGTAGAAGAGCATGCAGTGCAGAAGGTTTTTTTGCTTTTGCTGGATTTTTAGTTATATGCATGTACATTGTTCCATCCTTATGCAGGTTAGAGATTCACACTCCAAGCGATGCTCTCCATATTTGCACTGACCCTCCATCAGTCTTCACTGAATTACTCTGGCCAAAAGTTTTACCTCCCAGACATAAAGCAAAATTTTGCTTATGTGGAGAATCTAGAGTCTTGTCAGTGAAAGTTTATACATGTCCTGGAACTAAGATCTTTACATTCCAGATATAACTAGACTAGGTAATTATTTTATTCCTGTTTTTCTTCTCTTTGTTCCTTGTCATGTTATTTTCTTCCTGCCAGATATAACTAGACTAGGTAATTATTTTATTCCTGTTTTTCTTCTCTTTGTTCCTTGTCATGTTATTTTCTTCCTGTTTTGCAAAGAGTCTTGTCAGTGAAAGTTTATACATGTCCTGGAACTAAGATCTTTACATTCCAGATATAACTAGACTAGGTAATTATTTTATTCCTGTTTTTCTTCTCTTTGTTCCTTGTCATGTTATTTTCTTCCTGTTTTGCAATACAGCTGATGGACTTTGTTCAATGCACCATAGTATTGTGCAGGGGTTTATCAGGGAAGCTAAATTTCTTTATGCAAAAGCAGAATTAACTCTTCACTACTGTGGCTGTATGTTCTAACTGAAATTACTCTGAAAGGGAGGAAAAGACATTCTTTGAGCTATTATTGCTTTATAAAGTAAATTTAAGGATGTTCTGAGCCGTCTCTTTGTTTACCTGTGGTACCTTCAGGACTTGCTTGTATCCCTGCCATTGGTCTCTAGGTCTAACCGTGCATCGTGCTTCGAAAAAAACTTTTCTCCCATACAAGAACATATTTTTGTTACTTGAATGCCATGCCTACATAAGCTATACACTCATGACCTGAGCAGCAACAAGGCAGACTGAGCCACACCAAACTGAGTTCTTCATCAGGAGAAAAACACACCCTCTGCACAAGCCAGGAGTCAAGGCAACGTGCTGGGACTTGTCCATCACTCTGTAAGCAGGCAGTATGCAGAACACTGTGTAAGCATCTACTGGGAGTCCACCACCCTACACTTTCATATGCCACTCTTAAAAAAAACCTTGAGAGTTGCACTGCAGGGCTCTGCGTAACAGTATGCCCCAGGATGTGTGTGGGAGCTGAGGGACAGTTGCCAATCATTATTTGGAAATGGATGTTCATTCTCCAGAGTCATCCTGCATTTGCAGCTTAGCAGATACTGCTGTCCATCCGCTGAGTTGGACACTGACAGCTTCTTCCCTTTTCCTGCTGCTGGGCTGCAGAAAATGGAGTGTTGTCCTCACTTCCCCCATGGCTGCCAGCTGCACCTGTGTTTCACTCGCAGCACGAGCTGTAGGAGAAGGATCTTTATTTGCTAAGAGCTTAGGCCAGCTGCCAGTGGGCCACGGCCTCCTCCAGCCTGGGAGCCCCTGCTGATCTGAGCCCCTTCCAAAAACTTTTTGGTTACCACTTTTATCTTGCTCTAATGCCATACAGCTTTTCAAGGCACTTCACTTTATCTACCACGGCATGAGGTCCTTGCAAAGGGGACACTGGGCAGTTTTTCTCACTCCTCTCCACGTGCCCGACAGCTTGCTCACTTGCGGGGACAGAGCCCTTAGTACCCTTCTTCTGAAGCACACAATGTATCACAAACTTTTTGCCTTGATGGTCTCTTGCATTCAAAAGTCTGATTGTGGTGTGTCTGTGTCTTTACAGCATTCTTGCACAATGCAAAGTACAAACTTCAGCTAACAAACCAGCAGTGGGCTCATGCAGTGCAATCTACTGTGTTATTTGCAAAATCGCAAGCAGAAGTGTTCAAAATGACTGGAAATCTGTTCTATTTTGGAGTGAATCTTTCTGAACTTGTAAAAAACCCTGTTTTTGTGCAAAGGTAGGACATTGTTAGCCATTTAACAGCCAACAGATCCTCAGCCTTGCTCTCAAATACTAGACTTCAATTGGCTAATACGACAATCTGCCTCTAAAGGAAAAGTTTTGCCAAGTTCAAATACTTCAAAAAGATTGCAAGGTTCCCCGCTTTGTACTTGAAGGACTTTGCTAATATGTTGAACGTTTTAAAAACTTAAAGCTTAGGATTTCAACAGAAAAGAGCATCAGTAATTTTCTACCTAGTTTATAACCACAGATGTGGAACTGGTCCACCTCCAGTAATTTTCAGGTGTGTTAATCTTTTTCAGCCACAGTTAAGACACTGGTGTTGTGCTCCCAGTTCTGAATTATGGCAGATGCCACTGGCATTTGATTTTTCAGACAAAACCAATGCACATAACACTCCTTTCTTCAGTTACATGCATACACTAATGCTGCTCTTCCTTCTGAGTAGTACTGTCATACATAAGTCAGACATACTACAGTATATACATATCAGTAATTCATTCAGCAAAGACATCCTGATGTTTCCTATTGAGCATAATAAAAGGAAACTATGCAAAATCAACTGAAGCCTCAGAGCCTTTATGCAGAAGACTGAGCTGCCTCTGAGATCATGCTGTCACAGAGAGGTGTCCAGTTTCATGGCATCAGTTCATATTTATGATATGCTATGGTATAATTTAGCAAAGAATAAGAATCAGCTGGGACCACTTTTCAGCTCAACAAACCATGCCTCAGATGAAGATATTTCTGTGCAAGCACTCATACATGTGCAATAACTGTGCAGGCAGCTCCACTTCTGCAGATTAGAAGCAACTATCTCAAATGAAGGAGGAAAACAACCTCTCCCATCAAACCTCCCCAGCAACTGAACTCAGATGGCCACTGTAACTGGGGGAGGAGACCTGTGTCTGAGAAATGCATTCATCCTGCCATGACCTCACAGGAGATAAGAAAGATAGTAAAAAATGAGACAGGTGGATGTACCTATCACCTTCTCCACAGTGATTAGTCTTACTGTACTTGTTTTCAAGGGGAAATCTGCAAAAGTGTCTTGTTGGCCTGTTCACATCTGCCATGCCACCACCAGCTGTTTCAGCCGACCTCAAAGTGTATCACCTGGGAAAAGGATGGATGCACATACTTTAAATTTCAACTGCACTTTTTGTACACGTTATAAGAGTTCTAAGAAATGGATAAAAAATCTCAAGTACAATACATTCATTAGCATGCATTCTCACCTAGTAAATATAGTATCTTTAATCTTCCTTTTCATATTAATCTAGATTACACTTTATTTATCAAACCTACCATATCAATAATATTGTATTACTCTTTAATTTCATCAGGAAAAGTAGCTACTGAACGTTTTATTAATGATTGTTTTTTCAGTAGCTGATATTTTTTCAAGGCAAGTTGTGCAAGGACTAACTTAACAGAAAAACAAAGCAAAAGAGGAATACTGAGTGCACTAGGGTGTCAGGTAACTATCAATATTAAAAATTTTAACAAACACAAATTACGTTGTACATCAGGTTCTTTTTGTCATTTCTGTAATGTATCAATAACATTATGAAATTCATGTGCTATCAAAGTGATAACAAACAAATGTAAAAGCTCATGCATACTGATGCATGTTAGTTTTTCAATTCCTATCAATTATGTTCAACAAAAAAAGCCAAGATAGCTGAAGAGCCTGACCCTAATTTTGCATGCCCATCCATGCACACAGCTTTTAATTTAAGACACGGAACTCTGGGTGGATGCAAGATCTGTGCTGGTGGATCACTTTACAGGAGGGGTCCTTTGTTAGGAAAATCTGGACTAATTATTCTGACAAATGGAAACTGGTTATTCATGAGGTTCAACTATCTGGGAAGCAACTAGATTATACTGCTGTCTCCCAGATCTTGTGTAAGAGACTTTCCCCAGAGCAAAATCATTAAGTTGTAGAATAGCTTCCTTCAAGCATTTACAACTTGTGTAGTTGCAGATTTTTCCCTTAAGCCCTATAAAAACATCTTCTAGCTGCACAGTTTAGAAATTAATGAATAAATATAATGGTATTTTAAAAACTTGCATCTATTCTAGTCCTCTTTCAGTCTATCATTTTGTTTTGCTAACACTTTACTAGAGAATGAAATGGCAGAAATCTGAGTAATTTTGGTTGTCATTAAAATACTGTATATAAACAGGAAAAGTCAGAGTAAGGCATTCTCAACACAAACTTGTGGAACGTACATTTTCATGCCTAGTGGAACTAACATTTCAATTTCTTCCCAGAAGTAGTGGAATGTTTTTTGCATATAAATCCCCAAATACTTTTTTTGGATTTTACAGATAAAAAGCATTATTTTGTACATCAGTTTTAAAAGCATTGGCTTGGTATTTCCTTCCATTTCATCTACTGCAGGACTAAGAATCTGGAAGGAAGCTGTTCAAAGAAACTCACGACATACAGAAAATACCTACTTTATTAAAACCAAATTAAATAGTATTTTGTTTCAAATGCCATCTAGAAACACTGGATAGATGTATATGAAGTATATGCATGATGATAGGTAGTTATTTATCCCCATGTTTTCACCTGCCGGTATTACTGCAAATAACACTGTTTCCATGACATGCCTTATGGAACAGTTTACTATTTTGATAAGCAGTCACATGCATTGAAGGTAGAATCACCAGCCAGTGCATTTGGCACCCCAAAGCAGAACCAGAGAGGCCAAGCTTACAAATCTCTCCTGACTGGTGTATGATATGACAGATCTCAGTGAAACAAGGAAGCACATTGACCTAGGACATTTCTTCTGGAGCTGCTTCTGCTTCCTGAGTGGGTTCCTCTTCGGGTTTGCCATCATGGATGGGAGATGGGTTATGGCTGGCCCTGTTGCTGTCGTGCGCACTGTGACCACTGGCACTGCCGAGGCGAGTTGATGCCACCACAGCTTTTACTGCAGCCTAAGAAAGAGAGCATCAGGCAAACATTCCTTAAAGAACATGGTCTGTCAGCACTGGAGTCTTAGCATCGTCCCATTAGGGAATGTAACCGCGTTTAGTGTTCATGGAAGTGTCCCATTCGGATACCTGCCTGGGCCCAGACAGATTTAGAACGACACCTGAAATACCAGACTGAGGTTTAAAGTTGCTGCTTTCACAAGGTTACAAGTTGGCCAACATGAAGAGATTATTTTTTTTCAGCTGCACATGCTGAATTTTTTTTTAGAAACGACTTCAGGTCTTCTGTGTTGAAGTTAGATGGCAAAAAGAAAGTTATCTTCCATCATAATAGGACCAACATTATTATCACTCATTATTCCATGAAAAGTTCACAAAGGGAAACAATATTTATCACTGTTGCACTATTGCATATGCCAAGCACAATTGTCCAGTGCATACTGGCAGCTTCCTATGTATATCCGTAAATACACATTGGGGATAAAATGTCACAAAATGAAGACATGCATTAAGAGAATTATCTCAGCCCTTGCCTTGAAGAGTTTTATTGCCTAAAAAACAAACATACAGGGGTGAGGAAAAGAAATACTAATCTCTGTGTATGACAACTCTAGCTATTTTTGACTTTGACAGCTTTTTGCTTAGGCATCACAGGAGAAGCAGATCTGCAGGATGAGATCAGGAGCATAGCAAGTTTTGTGGCTGGGTTGGAGAGATAACCATGCAAAAAAAAAAAAAAAAAAAAAAAAAAAAAAAAAGATGCTACTGAAAAAACAGACTATATAAACACCGGCAAGAAGAAGAATCAGCTAATAAAGAATATGAAGTCAAAGTACAAGGCATGAGTCAACAAAAATGGCAACAATTTTGAAAGTGAGAGTCTAGACGGCTTAAAGGAAAAATCACAGACATCCACATTAGTGGTGAGAGGACTTCAGACAACAGATTACAAACCAAACAGGCCACTCAATATTATAATGTATAAAGATACTTCTAATGTAATTTATTCTCACTAGACATGTAGATGTTTATGAAATAAATTCAACAAAGTCTACAAAAAACCAAATAATGACTGAAAGCTTTAGAGTTATTCTATAAAATTAATGTCTTTCTGTAAAGAAAGCCTGCTGCTGGACTTGTATGTTGAGAAAGAGAGCATAATTTTGTATTATTCTTATTAACAAAACAACGAAAGCATGTATTCACTACATGCTTTTCTGATTGCTTCTTATTTTTTGGACAGGAATTAATTGTCTAAAAATGTATGGTTCATTTTATACATATATATGTGTAAAACTATTTACAATAACTGCTAACTCCAGTTAATTCTCTTAATAACTGAACATTTGGCCATTTAATCTTAAATAGAAAAGCAATGAAAAAATAAACTTGTAAAACGCAACGGCTTGATTATCGGGATCTAAATAAACTGGGCTTCAAAAAAATCCCATTGGTGATCAAAGGTGTAAAAATATAAAGAGAATCAAAATCAAAACATGCAAAAAGGGCACACATTTCTTTGTGGCCTCATGGGCAGGGAAAGTAACAGCTCACTCAGAAATAATGAAATGTATGACTCTGCTCATGCTCTGAAATTATTTTGATATAAGAATGTTGCATGGCATCTTCAGTGAATACACAGCAATCCTGCTGTAAGGCTACAGAAATCCTTCTGAAGAGAACAATGTTAATAGACATGTAGTCAGTGCAGCATGGTAAAGCATCACTGTTAATTACATCTATCTATCTATCTATCTATCTATCTATCTATCTATCTATCATCTATCTATCAATCAAAGGTGTCTGAGACCTTTGTAAATTACAAAACTTTTTTCTTTGCCCTGTAGAGATTCTCTGTCACAGTTCCCTAATACTGAAAAAAAAAAAGAGCAAAAACAAAGCTAAGGGTCATTGTTTGTGAATTTGGTTCTGCATGGAGGTTGTAAAACTCTCAGACAAGATGTTTTTTACTCTTATTGCCCAGGGCCACAAGCACAGCTTCACTATAGCTGTTGATAATAATTTCTGTGCTGAAGTATCCCTGAAAGTCTTTCCTCAGCAGACACAAATCTTTTAACAGCTGAAGAAGGGACTAGGGGAAAAGAAAGCTTCTCAATGTTATCTCAGTTAGATGCCCAGATGCCTGCTGTTTGCACTTAATAATGTTTCCCTGCTTCTTCCCATGGCAGATATGTAGACTAGATGGTAAAGGAGCATACTGGTGACTCAAAACCTAGTGTTATTTTCAGCACAGGTCCCACTGGCACTCCTGCCTTGCAGGACTTAATTTCCAGTTAAAGAATGCCCTTGCATATTTGCTATCACAGGTACTTGGAAATGCATATTTTGGGCCCATTAATCACAATGCACACATTTTCTAGACCTACAAGTCTGAAATGCTGACTCTAGACTATACGAAAGGACAGCTTAAGCTCCTGCTTTGTATTGATAGGTATAGAAACTAAGGGTGGCTTACAGATCAAAATACGCAATAGTAGAATAAATATCTTCCAGGTTTATAGATGCTCATGAATAAACTACTCATAATTTTGTTCCTTCTGGTCAGTACTGTAAGGATGTGCAAGCAGTACAGAACAGATGGATGGACAGAAGCAAGGAAGCAAGAAGAGAAGAAAGGAAGGTAAGGAATTTACAGAAGCTGTGTACATTCTCAGCAGTTCTCTATGTAGATGGGAGTTTTCAGCAACCTCACGCATTTTTATTTGTTTGGCTGCAGACATCGACTAAATCAGCTTCATCTTTTTCATCTTCATCAGTCATCTTAAATAAAAAACTTCCTTACCACTATGGAATGTTGTCCTGGAGAGTGTGCAAGGTTTCTGTAAGGCTACTAATTTAATTGCATGCTTTCATAGCCAAATTAGAGACTGTGTCCAGAGACTTGCCTTAAGTTTACGTCGGGCATTGAATTCTTGAAGTTTCTTTTGTGCATTGTCCATATGTGCAAAGTTTGCTGCCTTTCCTGTGACCCAAGGGTGCTGCAAAGCCTGTAGAGTGGTGAGGCGTTTCTTAGGGTCCAAAACAATCAACTTTTTAACCTGCATTACAAGGAAGAAATACAGAAGACTGTTAACCTTATTCTTCATTTACATTTTGGGGCTCTGGTCTTGGTTTGGAAAGCATATCAGTGAAACACATTCTAAGAAACCAACAGGAATTTATATTCAAGTCTTTGCACAGATTTTGTTTCTGGCTTTTCTTGGTTCTCTATAAATAACATTTAATAAGACAGTCACTAAGGCAGAAGAGAGGAGAAAAAGAATCAACCAGCTGCCAGCATTTGTAAGAGTACGTACCAATGCAGCTGGCCCGTACCCACATAGGCTGTTGTATGTCTGAATTGTCATGTAAACCCTAAGACATTCTAAAAACACCCCCAGACAGGCAGTTCTCCTAGCAGTATCCCCACTTTTGGATTTGGACAAGGTTTAAACTGGATAAGAAAGTTTAAATTCTAGTGTATGCAACTCATGCAGATTTGTACCATGCAGTCATTGCCAGGTACACCACAAATGGAATGTTTCTTTCAGTCACTGTAAAATCTCATGCACACATGAGCTAAAAGTACAAGTATTTCTCTCTTAGCCCACTCTGAAACTAATGCTGCTTACACCATTCTTTCTGTTATTGAGACCAGGGAAGCTGTACCTCTCCAAACAAAACAGTAGGACATTTTTGGGAACAAGACACTTCAGACATACCCCTGGGAGTGGAGGTGGTACAAACTGCTGGGTACAAAGTGTGTCCAGTCAAGCTGCATTTCATGGGTTTTGCTGTATGTCTGGACAAGTGGTGTTTTAAAAAAAAGAGAAAGGTGAAGGTGGATTAAAGAAGTCCAGAAATGGTACTCAGCAGAGGCATGCTTATGAAGCTCTCCTGACTACACACCCCTTGGAGCAGAGCACAAGTGATGGGGCAGGGCTCCATTACTGGTACGTGCCCAAGTGTGAGGGGAGGACTCACTGTAGAGCTCCCTGAAATTTCCCTAC